TTGGATCAAAATACGGATAAGGATGGCAATAAATACTGTATAACATTACACATTAAAAATCGGGCGTTACTTTGTGATGCGACTGTACATAAATACATGGTATCTGCAATAAACAATATGATTGGTGAGCAAATTTACTGCTTATTGAAAATACCAAGGCATGATAGTGCGTGAACAAATGTTTTATCGGTCATAGCAATTGTATATTACCAATTTTGATAGCAGTTCATTTTTGCGATACAAATCACAAATGTTAGCAAGAAAAGCAAGCAAAATTTTCTTCAATGCTGACCAAAATATTGAATTCGGAAATATTCTGAATCACTTTCTATAATTTCACATTTATTTTTATTACATGTTTGAGAATTGAGAATTAACATCAATTTTATGGTTAAACAGAGGATTATGAACGATTTGATTCATTGGAAACAAATTATACACTTATCTTTAAAATTTTTTTTAAAAAATAAAAGTCTTTATTCTTTCAAAGTTTAAATATGCAAAGATTTATTTAACGTGTAAAACAGCTCATTATTAAATTTCTCAAAACCAGAAAATTTATCATAAAAAATCTCTTTCATTACATATTGTGATATATCGGTATTCATTCTGAATATAATTAACAATACATGACTATTGAAAAGGGTTGATAAATTTGTTTCAGATTCAGTTCGTTCGAATCATAAACATCCCTACTTTTGAGACTTATCCGCATTTTTTTTGTATATATCGGTGTAACCTGAGCTGTGCTATATTTATTCCATGTAATACTTTATAATTTTACATTTTTTAAAATGGAATTAATAAAAGAACAATTCAATTAAATATGGCAAAAAGCAGAATATGATAAGGCCAAAGAAAAGTTGGAAAGATTAGATATGTTGAAAGTGAGAATAAATATAAAGACAAAGACTGGAAGAGGAGGCGGGATTTAGAGGAAGATAAGGAGGTCCTAGAGAGTGAAAAGAAGAAGTGGGGAGATGAGTTCTTGGAATGCCAAGGTAATGAAATATAAGCATATAATTATTTATATTTTTTTATTTCGTTTATTTGTCTGTTGGTATAATATATATAACTTTGTACTTTTTTTGGATTCTCATCATTTCCATTTGTATTTTTGCTATTATTATCAAAAGAAAGTTTGAAAGAGAAAGAAATTCTAGAAACTTCTTGTAAGTAACGATTCTGTTCTAAAAATTCATCATATGCAAAGTTTTTTTCCTGATAAAATTCTTAATTGAATATCACAGTACAAACGCCCATTAAATACATCACCATCACAGGTAGGGTTCCTCAAAATCGAATCGAATCAAATATTTAAGCAATTTGAATTTGATTTGATTTTTTCAAATC